CTGAGCTGAGGTCATCTGCCTGCCTCGGCCTCCCAAAGTGCTGGGATTACAGGCGTGAACCACCGCGCCCAGCCAGTTTTACTCTTCTTAAATCTGATGTTCATGGCATAAGGCAGTAGTGGCTTTAAATATCACTAGCCACAGCTTTCAGTTGCTCTGATCGCTATCATTCAACTTTAATTGAGTAAAAGGAAGAAAGCAAAGAAAATTCTTCCAACTGACTTATTCAACTTTCAAAGATGAGTTTATGTTGCAATGCCAGTTTAAAAGCTCCCCTACGACACCGTGCTTCTATAAAGGATTCTCAAATTGATGAATGTCCAGCAAGATCTACTACTAAAGGTCACACAACTGTACTAGCATGAAACAAGCCAAAAGATAAGGCCCTGTCATCCTGTGTTCAGGAACCAACGGCGGGATCATGCCACAGGCCAAGATTTCCAAAAAGATTGCTTTAGAGAGAATGGTTATCATGAAGCAAGAGCAACAGTAATTCTGGCAGAAGGGCTAGGATCCATGAGTACCCGGGGTGTGGGTAAGCTTGTACAACAGATCGTCTTAATAGAAATCTAGTGTGGCCAAGAGTGCACGACCGCGAATAGAAGCGTCTGCATTTTTCTTCACAACTACCACTCCCTCTTCCCTTCCCCGCCCACCAACGAAAAAAATGCGGCAGGAGTGGAGAGCACGGGAGGAATAAATGGAGTATCTTTGGGGCGTAAACCCGGTTTTAAGACCTGTTTCCACCACGAAATAGCTGCCTGACCCAGGCAAGTCACAAAACCGTGACTCAGTTTCCCCACTACACTGCCGACTACACAAGAATGCTGCCGGGATTAAATGAGACAGACAACGAGTACGAAACCTTCAGCACAGGGCCAGACATTGGAACCGCTCCATGGCCCTAAGGCGAGTCCGCAGGAGGGTTCTGGGGCCTGGGCTCCGGCCCGGAAAGGGCGCTCCCGGGGCCCGCTCCCCGCCAGCTGGGTTCCGAGGCCCTGCCCGGCCCACCTTGTTGTTGTACTCCTCCACGAAGCTGCCCAGCGCCAAGCGAAAGCGCTTATCGGGCCGCACACTCCAGTTCATCGCGTAGACCGTCCAGGGCGCTTCATACTTGTAGATCTCCTTCCGTTTGCCGTGCAGGGACATGGTGGCGGCGGGGCCGCAGTACGGGCCGGGTCAACAGTGGGCTGCGGCTGGCGGGGTGCGAGTCGGGCGGGGAGCCGGGCCTGAGATCTATGGGTCCGAAGGGAGGAGGGGCGGGGGCGGCCAGGAACGGCCTACCCCGAAGCAGGGATGCGGCGACAAACAACGACGACGACCGAGCCCGACCCCTAGTTTCAAACCAGCTTGGGCACCGACGACAACCACCTTCCGTTTCGGGACGCCGCCCCGCCCTCTCGGAACGGAAGCCACGGGACCCCTGCAGCGCCACCGGCCGTTGGTTGCCTGACACGTCCTTTCGAAAGGATTCTTTCTTCTCATTGGTTATTGCGGCCGTAGCGTGTGAAATCTCCTCGTTATTGGGTTAAATGTTTGTCATTGCAACTACTCGCCCCGCCCAACTCTCGGAGGCAGGCGGTTTGGCAGCCCCAAAGATCATTGGCTGACCAAGATGTCAGTCAGGCAGATAACGGCGCAGTGCGGGTGGTGGGGGCGTGGGTGGCCGGGAGGCGAGCGTGCTGGAGTAGCGGGCCTCCAAGTTCTAGGCCAAGTCTCTGAGCGTGAAACTGTCTGTGACCTGCGCTGACTTCTCCTCTGCTGCTGCTGTTCTGAGCGGCCTTTCCATGCTGTCGAGTAAAAGTACAATTCTGCTTTAGCGGAAGACCTACTAACTTTCGCGGGACCGAGCCCCGCGGCCTGGCAGCCTGGCCTGTGCGCAACGGGTACCACCTTCCTGCCCCTTCTCTTCCCAAGGCCCCTTTAACCCGAAAGCTGCTGTCTTCGGGCCTCAGGGCCAGGCTTCAGGGGCGCACATGCGCTCAGGGCCAGGCCAGCTTGAGTCAGGTCCTCCCGCGCTTTCCTGTAGGATCTAGAAATGTCCCCGAATTCTGGGGTAGGCACCGACCTGACCAGCTTGGCTCTGTTTTTGTCGGTTCCCATCCTGTACCTTCCCCGCCGTGCATCCCAACGCAAATGCTAATCCAGCCCCAAAAGTATCTGTGCCTGTGAGTTTGAAAGGGAGAAAGGCCAGAGACCAAGTGACACCTTTATATAAATGGTTTCCAATTCTTAGCTTTCATCAAAATTGAAGGAGGTTTGTATTGAATTGTTGGATTATAACATTAAAGTTTTTTTTTTTTTTTTTTTAAAGACAGGGTGTTGCCCTGTCACCCAGGCTGGAGTGCACTGGTGTGATAAGGGCTCACTGTAGCCTCGACTGCCTAGGCTAAAACGATTCCACTTTAGCCTCCAGAGCAGCTGGAACAACAGACGTTTGCCACCACACCTAGCTATTTTTAAATTATTTGTAGAGATGAGATCTCTCCATGTTGCCCAGGCTGATCTCGAACTTAGGCTCAAGCGACCCTCCCACATCAGCGTCCAGAAGTTCCGGGATTACAGGCTTGAGCCACCATTCTGGGCACTAAATGTAATTTTTAGTGAAAATGATTTTTCCATCTCCCAGGTTTAAGTGATTCTCTTGCCTCAGCCTCCCGAGTAGCTGGGATTACAGGGGTATACCACCATGGCCAGCTAATTTTTGTATTTTTAGTAGAGACAGGGTTTCACCATGTTGACCATGCTGGTGTCGAACTCCTGACCTCAAATGATCTGCCAGCCTTGGCCTCCCAAAG